AGGAGCAAATGCTCGATAACAAATTCACGCGACCTTCTATGATGCACTAACAGAAGTCTTAGACAGTCAAATCCATGACAAACTGTGTCGCGTATCGCAAATACATTAATCAGATACGTGCACGACCTAACAGGTGCTGCATACCTATCACTATCAGCTTCGGATCCTCGACAAGCATGTCATGACTCCATCCTTACCACAATAATGTCGACATCTCAACTGTTCTGCAATTTCATCACTGAGATCATACGTCTTTCAAGGACCCGCGGATGTCTGGCAGAAGCACAGATCTGTCAACTCCTTCTCGATGTCGACGCCTAATTGATTCGCACAATGGAGTTTGACATCAGTGGAGGCGCGATACCCAAAGACATCGTATCCACGATTACGAATGCATCAACTAGATCTGTACTAACTTCCTTGCTCTTGTTTAGTCGATCTGTATGAAATTTCTTGCGCCTTTCGCGTTCGGTTTCACAAGATGCATATCATTGTTTGGTTCTAGAATTGATGTCTTCCGCTAGGTTAAGCTGTCCATCGGTATGCTGTTTACAGAAAAGGCGGGTTATCTATGAGTTCTGCTCCATGTTCGCTGCGCAGATGTTGGAGCTCGTCTTCAGACAGTTATGGAGCCATTATCGAGCAGTTGCTATAACGTGTTTTGGTTGAAGCGCCACTGCTACAAAGCACATTAACCTAGGAAACGACTGCACATCCTGAAGCCTACATTGCAAGTTCCAACTTAATGTAGTCTACAGACCTGTTCAGCTTTTTTTTTGCATAAGGTGAAAGTATGTGGAGATAGCTGCTTTACTGAGGAAGCATGACGCCAAAAATAGCTGACTAACCGTGGAAGGCCCCGGCGCTAGCGGGGTGTTTCGCGACTCCATGAGTGCTCTCGAGTGCTGCCAGACTCACCACGTCCGATTTCCCCACCGCGTGACCCCGAAAGCAATCGCCGCCTCACCATATAAAGTCGCGCAAACCTTGTTATCTTACCTCCACCCCACAATCAATACGAACCTGTCGGTAATCGCGGCCAATGCAACATTTCCTCGCGCAACAGCAGCAGCAGCAGCAGCAGTACGGCGACTGGCCCGCTCAAGCTCAAGCCCATGGCCATCACCAGCAACCGCAACACCATGTAGGCCAGCACGGACAACACCAAGCCCAGGCCGCCCAGCTGCACGCTCAACAACAACAGGCCCAGGCCGTCCAGGCGGCTGCCCAGCGACAGTACCACCAACAACTCGCCGCCAGCAATGGCACCACCCTTCCCGGTAACAACGCCGTCCCCCGCGGCCCCGCGAACGACGTCCAAACCACCGATATCGGAATGACGGAGGAGAACAGGCGCGTCTTGGAGTGGATAGCCCAGCTCATGAAGCCTGCCACGCGTGAGGCTGCGCTTCTGGAATTGAGCAAGAAGCGAGAACAAGTTCCTGAGTTGGCTCTGATCCTCTGGCACTCTTTCGGTACGCGTATTGTGTTGTCGAACATGCGACGGGATACTAACGACTCCAGGTGTCATGGCCTCGCTCCTCCAAGAGATCATCTCCGTCTACCCTCTGCTCAACCCGTCGCAATTGACCGCTGCTGCTTCTAACCGTGTATGCAACGCTCTTGCGCTTCTCCAGTGTGTCGCTTCGCATACCGAAACTCGCGGCCTATTCTTGAGCGGTAAGTCAGACATCGCATTGAGGAGACGTAGCTAATGCACTCACAGCGCACATCCCGCTCTTCCTCTACCCGTTCCTCAACACAACGTCCAAGTCACGGCCTTTCGAATACCTGCGTCTTACATCTCTCGGTGTCATTGGCGCTCTGGTGAAGAACGACTCTAGTGAAGTTATCAACTTCCTCCTCACAACTGAGATCATCCCGCTTTGCCTACGTATCATGGAGACTGGCTCGGAGCTCAGCAAGACAGTGGCCATCTTCATCGTTCAGAAGATCCTGCTAGACGACATCGGTCTTGCCTACATCTGTCAGACCTACGAGCGCTTTTATGCTGTCGGCACCGTACTCAGCAACATGGTCAACCAACTTGTGGAGCAGCAAACCGTTCGCCTGCTCAAGCACGTTGTTAGGTGTTTCCTTCGGTATGCACACTCCATGTCCGTCTTTTGTACTTGTAACTAACTTTGCCAGCTTGAGCGATAACGCTCGTGCTCGCGAGGCGCTTCGCCAGTGCTTACCAGAGCCTCTCCGCGACGCCACCTTCTCCTCTGTTCTTCGAGACGACGCAGCCACTAAGCGCTGTCTTGCTCAACTCTTGATCAACCTCTCTGACAACGTCGTCGATGCCGCCAACAACCAGCAGCTCATGCACTAGGAGACATGCAATGGGGAGCACAAAACACCTCCTCTGCACATCTGGCACATCTGGCACAGGTACCTTCGATGATCTTGAATACCTCTCCTTCGCCTTTTGTATATTTCTAGCTTCGGCTTTTGCTTCATTTGGCGCGGCAGTACGCGTAGACGACATACCCCTCAGTTGCGATCGGATTGGGCTTACGAAAATGGTGCGGCGGATACGGCGTTAGGGTTTCTCACACGGGATACCCCGTAGCAACACTGTGCTTGGGCACATGCTACTTCATTTAACTTGTGTTTATCGACTTTGTTCTTCTTACTCTCATGGTTATGGCGAGGAGTTTTCGGGCATTGCATGGCGTAGTGCACTCATCAATGCACGGATTCTAGGAGGAAAAGTCAAGTGTATAGTATCATTTTTTATTTCTTCCATGCATGCGAGCAATGCAGAAGCATGTTTCATCGACATTCGTGCAAGCTAGTCGTGATGCATTCTTTGTGATTGCCAAAAGTGACATAAAGGTTTTCAATGCAACCCGTCTGGGGTATGTGTGGAATGGCATGCGACGTATCCCTTTAAAGCACAATTTGACGGCGATACCCATAGCAGAGAACACGAGCATAGGCGAAATGTTATGTTCCATGTCAACCTTGGAAAGTGACTTCCATCGGTCGTCCAAAGCGGACTAGCGCGGGCTTCGCTAGCGGCGAAACGGCCACAGTCAAACGACAAATCCGCCGCCACTTTTCTCTCTTCTTCAACCACCACCGCTACAGAGCCACCAAAGGAAACGATATCCTCTGGGAGACACATCAGCCAACATGTCGAAAATCTCTGTCGCCGGCGTTCGTACGAACGTTCAACAGCTCCTTGAGTACTCCAACGAGACCAAGAAGAGGAACTTCCTCGAGACCGTCGAGCTCCAGATCGGCCTCAAGAACTACGACCCCCAGCGTGACAAGCGTTTCTCCGGAACCATCAAGCTCCCCACCCTTCCCCGTCCTCGTAAGTTACCGCCGGCGCATCAATGAAAGTGCGCATGCTAACAGATCGCAGGCATGAGCATCTGCGTTCTCGGTGACCAGCACGACATTGACCGTGCCAAGCACCATGGTGTCGATGCCATGAGCACTGATGTAAGCATCCCCCGAAGTCTTTCGCTAGACATGTCTAACAACTCCACAGGACTTGAAGAAGCTCAACAAGAACAAGAAGCTCATCAAGAAGCTCGCGAAGAAGTACGACGCCTTCGTTGCCTCCGACGCCCTCATCAAGCAGATTCCCCGTCTCCTCGGACCCGGTCTCTCCAAGGCCGGAAAGTTCCCCACACCCGTCTCGCACGCTGAGGACCTCGCCAACAAGATGAACGAAGTCAAGTCCACCATCAAGTTCCAGTTGAAGAAGGTTCTGTGCATGGGTGTCGCTATCGGCAACGTTGGCATGACTGAGGACGAGCTGATTGGTAACATCATGTTGGCCATCAACTACCTCGTCTCGCTTCTTAAGAAGGGATGGCAGAACGTGGGCTCCTTGACCATCAAGGCCACCATGAGCCCCCCCAAGCGCCTCTACTAGAGCGTTGGTCGCTACGTCTGCTGGGTTATGTTGTGGTGAGCTGTCGAAAGATGGCTTGCTATGAATCACGATCTTACGGAATCTCGATGGAACGAACAATGGGTCTAGCTAGCTTGAATGCATGCATGAACCCATAAATATTGTCTTTGCCGTGGAACCATACTGTGATTGAGCCTTGACCTCCACGCTGAATCTGCGCAAGCGACGAATCTCAATGGCGTCACTGAAGTCTCGACCTTCACTGTGAACACAAGCTATCCCATTGCAGCCTGATATCCGCGCTCCCATCTCGAATTTTCACCTCGCACGGCCAACCATCCACTCTACCAACCTCTCCCGCCTTGCGCCCCACCACCGAACTTTTTCCATCCAAACCTGCAATCCTCTGTGCGCAGCGCTGACTAATCCCTACTCTAGCTCCTTGGCACCGCATACAAAACCACGCACGCCTCCGTTGCTCATTCTGCTTCTCCATCATCAGTTAGGAAATCTACATCCTATGTATATTATCGTGGCTCCACGCAAGTGGCATGCTGAGAGTTGTCCCTCCTTTCTCTGTGGACAGTTCTCCGTTCCCGGCCCCGTAGATCGATACCGCCCGTCATCCTTACCAATTGCAATTATCCGTGAAAAGATGGATTGGAGTTGTGGGACGGTGTGGGACACCTTTTCTTTGTGAATGTGCAGTTTGTGATTCAGTGCTGGCTTCGGCGCTCAACTCATCGGAGTTTGGCCGCTGAGACGATGCTGTCTCGACTATCGTGCAAACATGATGTTGCGATACTGCGCAGAGCTTTTCGAAGTTTTTGTGGGGCATCTCAGCTTAACGCGATGCGACTTGACAGATGCTGTGCTTCAAACACACGCGACATCAGAGTGCACCAAAGCTATCATCGGCGATGCCTTACTACGTGTAGGGTATATCAGGGTTGAACTTGGCTGTGCATATCGCCCTGCCTGCGTTCGATGGCCCAGGATCGGCCCTGTAGCTGGCTGCACCTCACGTTCTCTGCTCAGACCCCATGGCCGCGTCTGGATATGCAATGAGATGAGATTATATGTTCTGCCACATCATGTATCTATGCACCGTCTACACAAGTCCACCTCATCGCCGTTGTGTGTCCCTCCACTTGTCGAACGCCACCTCAGCAGACTCGCTCGTCATGCCACACCGTTCACCCAGCATACTCCATGTCCTCATCCTTATGATCTTCTCCACTGCCCTCTCATTGCGCATGAGCATAGCCAAGCTCTCCGTCCTCGCCTCCTGTGGGAAGTAGCGCCCCGAGTATGGATCTAACCGCTCATCTACAGTCCTCTCTCTCGCTTTGGCGTCTTCGATCTGCCGTAGTACACTATCCGGATCGTCTGGGTCTGGCGATGTCGCGACACCCGCGCAGTAGTCCAAGACATCTGATCGCACTGCCCAGCTGGGGAACAGCACCTTCTCCTTGAACCCCTCACATTGCTCTGGCTGTAGCGACCGACCGTGATCAGGCGACGGCAGCTGTCGTGTGCTTGTAGAAGTAGGATCGAAGCCTCGTTGTGCGGGTGTGAGGAGGGCGTTGAGGTTCTGTGTTATGGAGTCGTCGATTGCGCCGCGTGATATGCGGAGGAAGTCTGTTTCAGCCGACTTGCGCATTAGTTAGTGAGCTGGCTAGCAAGTCTATGAGAGTGCTGACCTCGCAGTGCGGTTTGGTTGAAGCAGAATTGTGGCGTGAGGCGAGGTGCCGCAGATGGTTTCGACATTTTCGGCGGCGAGGAGGGCTGAGACGGGGTGGTAGAGGTAGACGGCTCCGAACGTTTCCAGAAGTAGTTCGCCAGCTTGAAGTCAGTTAATATTAGTAAACACGGTGTTCTGTAGAGCTGCAAAGTTGCAGATGTCAATGCTGGAGATGCCGCCTAGTCCATGGCGTGTAATGATGTCAGCACCCCATCCAAGGGAAAATAGGACAGCTACCTCTGCAAAGCACAACTATAGACAGAAAAGCTAAGAGAACTACATTGCCTTTGCATCTGACAGCAGTGCATCCCAGACACTAATGTAGGCTGCAAGCCACCTGTTCAGCTCTTCCCGTGAAAGCGATATCAGCAAGGGTCTGCTCGCTCGAGGTTCGCGTTTGGCAAGCGCGTAGGAGGCGCGCTTTGATACCCGTGGACGCGCCTGCCGCCTGGAACACCATGCCCTTCCGCTTCGCTGCCTGTTGCACTTCAACAACTCGACTCCATTTAAAGTCAGCGCCCTCAATCCGATTGTTGCAGTCGTCTTTCATCTTTCTACGCCGCAATTGCCCTCAGCAGCCTGGTGGCGCACACGACACTCGCACTTTCGTAGCCATGGCTCCGAAGCAGGCCACTCTCGGGTATGTGAAGTCTTCTCAGACTACGTTAGGGTGCGGCGACGGCATTGGACTTCTCTTACGAGCCAATTGGACAATGCTTACAGTGTCTGCAGAAAGTTCTTCGGAAAACCCAACGGCGACGCAGCGAAGCAACAGTCGAAACTCTCCTTCTCCACGAGGCCGAAGCCTGCAAAGAAAGACGTAGAGGCCAAAGAGGAACCCAAGTCATCGCCAGAAGAGGTGAAGAAAGAAGAGAATGACGATGTCGATTCAGACGCAGACGTCAGGGCACCTGCCAAGGAGAAGATAGAGACGGATGACGATGCGATGGAAGTCGACAGTACAACCTCAGAACCCGGAAAGAAGAGGCAAATAAAAGAAGAGGAAGAGGAGGAGTCTGAAGAAGAACCCCCAACAAAACGACAACGGAGAAAGCCAGCGCAGGAGAAGGAAAAGCCAAAGAAGGCAGCCGCGAAGCCAAAGGCAGACAAAGCACCCGCAAAGTCGAAGAAGGCGGCTGCTAAACCGAAAGCTGCAACACTAGAGGATGACGACGAGGACGTGTCAGCGCCGGCAAAGGTCGCGAAGGGCAAGAAGAAAGAGGCGAAATCGTCACCTGTACCCGAGGATGATGCCGACTCAAACAAGGAAGAGGAAGAGATCGTGAGCTCCGAGGAGGAGCCAGAAGAGGTCAAGACCAAGGCGAGGAAGAAGGTTCAGACAACGCTTTCGTCCAACACCAAGGACCCATATCCTGACTGGAAACCGGGTGAGCCAGTGCCATACGCCGCACTCTGCACGACATTCTCGAAGATCGAAATGACGACGAAGCGCCTGGAGATTCTCGCCCACTGCTCGCTCTTTCTCCGCCAAGTCTTGCGGCTGACACCATCTGACATGCTTCCAACCGTCATGCTCATGGTGAACAAGCTTGCAGCCGACTACGCAGGCATCGAGCTTGGTATCGGCGAGTCTCTGATCATGAAGGCTGTCTCCGAGAGTACTGGTCGAAATCTACAGCAGATCAAGAGCGACCAGAACGAAATTGGTGATCTTGGACTTGTTGCAGCGAAGAGTCGATCCAAACAGCCTACCATGTTCAAGCCCAAGGCTTTGACAATAGAAGGCGTACGCAAGGGCCTCATGGGGATTGCTACTGTTGAAGGACAAGGTGCTCAAGGACGAAAGGTGGACGGTATCAAGAAGCTTTTATCGGCAGCTGATGCGCACAACTCTGGCAAGCATGTTGACATTGAGAAGGACAAGGGTGGACCCAGCGAAGCCAAATTCATCGTCCGGACACTAGAGGGAAAGCTTCGATTGGGTCTTGCTGAGAAGACTGTGGTGGTAGCTGTCGCGCAAGCTATGATCTTCCACGAGATGTCACAGAAGGGCAAGACGCCATCGACTGAAGACTTGGCAAAGGCCGAGGCTACGCTGAAGACAGTTTACAGTGAGCTTCCCAGCTACGAAGTCATCATACCCGCTATGCTTGAGCATGGTATTATGAACCTACGAGAGAACTGTCGCCTACAGCCTGGTGTACCGCTCAAGCCTATGCTTGCCAAACCAACAAAGTCAATCACAGAAGTTTTGGATCGTTTTGAAGGCAAGGACTTCACATGTGAGTACAAATACGACGGCGAGCGTGCCCAAATACACTTCGTCTCTCACGACGCAAAAATGGAGCTGGCGACTGCTGCTCCTACAGCCGGCAAGAGCGACCGAGGTGTTTCAAACATCTTCTCACGAAACTCGGAAGACTTGTCCAAAAAGTACCCTGATATCCTGGCCAAGCTGCCTACCTGGGTCAAGGAAGGCACCCAAAGCTTCGTTCTTGATTGCGAGACGGTTGCTTGGGACATGGTGGAAAAGAAGGTGTTGCCATTCCAGCAGCTCATGACGCGAAAGAGGAAAGATGTCAAGGTCGAGGACGTAAAGGTCAAGGTCTGCGTATTCGCTTTCGATCTCCTCTACTTGAACGGCGAGGTAAGCTTCTTGATTCCTACTTACTGCATCGCCGCTAACAATCGCAGGCTCTCGTGACCAAGTCCTTCCGTGAGCGTCGTGAACATCTCAATGAAGCCTTCATACCTGTTGAAGGAGAGTTTGCACTCGCCAAGTTTGGCAACACCAACGAGTTGGAAGAGATCCAAATTCTTCTCGAAGACTCCGTTAAAGAAGGCTGCGAAGGCCTCATGGTAAAGATGCTGGACGGACCAGAGTCTTACTACGAGCCATCGAAGCGCTCGCAGAACTGGCTCAAGGTCAAGAAAGATTATCTTGCCGGCGTGGGCGACTCTCTGGATCTTGTTGTCCTGGGGGCCTATTACGGCAAGGGTAAGCGCACAAGCTGGTATGGCGCCTTCCTGCTCGCCTGCTACAATCCCTCGACGGAGAAGTACGAGACTGTTTGCAACATCGGTACCGGTTTCTCGGAAGCTATGCTTGAGACTCTCCACAAGACGCTCTCCGAGATTGTTATCGACCGCCCTAAACCCTTCTATACCCATTCTACCGGCAACAAAGACCAGCCCGATGTCTGGTTTGAGCCGCGCTATGTCTGGGAAGTCAAGACGGCCGATTTAACCCTGTCTCCACGATACAGGGCTGCCGCAGATGAGGTGTCTGGTGGCGGCAAGGGCGTCAGTCTGAGATTCCCCCGGTTCATCAAGGAGAGAGACGACAAGAAGCCTGACCAAGCAAGCTCAAGTCGCATGATTGCTGAGATGTACCAGAGGCAGGAGAGTGTCAGCAAAAGCAAGGGCCCGAGTGCTGATGATGACTTTGAATATTGAGGTGGTGATGATTCAGGTTAAGCGGAATGGAGTACAATATTGTAGGAAGATATTTCATGTCCTGTGACGAGGATTCTATAGCATAGTAACGCCGAAATTTCCAGGTCGTTGACTCGCGACCCATGAGTGAATACTGACTCGCTCATTCGCAACGAAGTACTCGAACAATCGAAAGCTCGTACAGTGGAAATCTTGGCCTGCTCTACACTAATACCATAACATTGATGCCCTAGCAGTACATATCTCCTTCTAGTATTGCTATTCATCAAGGTTTCCAAACCACAAGCATGGCCACAATCGACGATATCCTCGCTTACAAATAATCAGTACCACCCCAACGGTAACAAGGCGGCCAGCTTCGTCAAGCAGCCAAGCCGGCCTCCGTCCACTTCACGGCATTCGCCATCGCAGACATCACGCTACGAAGGCAAACACATCGAGAAACCCATGAACCATCGGCCCACAAACAGGCCACACCAGTCCCCACAGCTCTACTTTCTGCAAACTCCACCTTGGCCCTAGCTCCCCTCGCCTTGGGTCTGTGAGCGAAGAGCGGCACGAACCTCCGCGCTCCACTAGGGCGTCGTCCCGGCGCAATCTTAGCTTCTCATTGGCCCAACGTGTCTCCCGAACCGATTGCGGCATCCTCGCGTAGTGTGATTGAGGTCTTGGGAGTAGGACAGTGATCGCGATTTGGGGCGATGCTCCGCGGAACAATTCGCCGGTGTGGGATGGGTTCACCTTTTTTCTTTGACGCAATTGGATTGCCTGTTTAAGATGGGTGTGAATCAGCGCAGGGGATTGGTTTGGATTTGGATTCCGTGGGTGTGGCCAATGTGGTGGGCATAGCAGGATGCAGGTGGTGATTGAAAGGGGTGTTGCTGGTACGATTATGCTGGTGAAAGACACTTTGTTGTAGTGGATCTGGAATTGTTGGCGCTTGCAGCTTGGAGTCTTCTTGTTTAGATGATACCGGTTTCAATCTATGGTGCATGCATCCTTCTCGTTGTTTGTGTCACTGGCGGCGGGAACAACAACTAGGTAGGTAAATCTCGCGAGCTGTGGTTTCGGTCTTGCAGATCAGCAGCTTCCGATCCGAACCAAGCCTGTCATCCGAGAAGGGTGTAGGATTAGTCTAGCAGAAAGCTAGAACGAACTGCGAATATAGGTGTAGTGTCTCAAGTTCCATTGAAAAGTCATGCTATGACTAGGCAGTGCAAGGCAGGAGCAAATGCCTATAACCGGCGCTTATAACCTAGCATCAGCGCCAACACACCCTCGCCAGTACCAGAAGGTCGCAGAGATTACTTACAATCGGCGATATACCACAGCACCATGAGTAGCAGTCACAGTACCTGGTAGTCCAAAAGCCCCACTGCGGCACACGCACCCACATCTACCACCCAATACAACTGACATCGGGCAAATCAACCGCGTCCCATTTCCACGGACCGCACTGCCCACACGCCAAACTACCAGCTAACAGTGCCGAAAAACCCATAACCAGAAACAAGCCCCCATCCCAACATTCGCATTTGGGGCGACCAAGAAGTGAAACCCCCATTAGTAAACTTTTCGGGTTTAGTTCATCTGCAACAATGCGTATGCA